AGTCTAAAAGAGTCATCAGTTAGTGTGGCTAATGCTCGGATCCAGGAGGATGGATTGGCAACCAGCTATCATTAGCGTTATTTTTATTTGAAGCCAACCGGATGCAACCTTGAAGTCGTTCACAAGCCTAAGTAACTCGTTTCCTCGAGTAAACGTGAATGTGTGATTCCTCCTTGATCGAATCGACTAACAGCACTGTGGCCACTTTTTCTTGCAGTCGGTCCCAAATTTAATGACTCGGAAAAAGAACCGGTACTCCAAAGGTATAGCGTTCCTCCCTGACTTTAAGTGACCAGCTTGTTTTCCCATTAACAATGCATTACTGCTTACGTGGGTGACTTCAGTTCTGTCATGAAAGGAATAACATCTACTTACGGAAATTCCAAAAAAATATTCGTTTCGGCTCCAGTAGAAAATTTTGACTACAGCATTTAGTCTTTCCAAGAGACAGTGATGCACTACATTATTTGACTATCCTTCTTCCAACCTGGTGACAATAAGGCAGGACAGAAATATAATACAAGTGCTTCGTCTCACCTCGAACGTGTGGAGTATAGTCGTCACGCCAATTGGACTGTTAACTGACTTTTAAACTCCTCGTGTAGCTGAAATTCCCCTCTTGATGAAAAGTGAAAGGATTTTCGTTAAACGTCTAATGTATTAACATCCAATTTCATTACTTAAGCAGCTGATTAAAAGCCAAGTAGCTGTCATTTCTGGTTTGAATATTTCAAACAAAAATTACTGTTACCATTATTCAACAGACTATAGTCGAAAGAGGATCGTTCACATTTCTAGCGACATGTAGCATTTCAGACACATCTGACCAGACCAACGAAACAAATACATCTAAGCTTTTAGCAGGAGGAGATGGCACCAACCATACAGCAACACGATCAAATAATAATAATAATCGTATATCGAGACCTATACATGAAACTGCCCGAATTGTTTGAATGTTTCGTCCTAGAAGCCAGCATGGAACTAAGAAATATACTAATCGAATCCTGAAGTGCTTGTTCATCTTCATCTCCCATGTGGAATATGCCTAATTACGGCCAGCTATCGACACACCGAGTATAATCCACTTGAAAAATGCCACATTTTTCAATATGGATATAAATACTCGGGGTCTGCCTGTTTCAGTTCCTGGGGCTGAACATGAGTTATGACTTTTACCAAGCCAATATTTAGCCAGTGCTTGTGGGTTAGGTACTAGAATTTAGTGGTGACGCATGACACGACAACCAACAGCAAAGTCTAATTAGCCATATATGCGTTTCCAATTATTCCTTTATTTTCCACTTATTCTTTTTGCATTTTGAAAATTTTATTACAGGCGCGAGCAGTAAGCACGACCTCCTCAACACAGAATGCTAGGATCATCTGGACGTGGCGACTGGGAAATATAGAGGGACGGAAAGGGTAATCAAGTAGGGACAATATCTTATTCATTTGTAAGGCCCCCTTTACCCAGCGAGTGAAACTGAATGATAAATGCCCTTTCACGTGTTGGGCTAGGTTTCGTTGTCTAAGTTTTCCACTAAATTTCCTTCGAGTAAACCATCAACCCCCACAACCGAGTTCTCATATTGTGTGTGTTATCGGTATGTTATCTGACTAATTATTTCATCAGAAGAGTTGGCCACCGAAAGTAGACGCTGGTCCTAAAGCGTAATAAAATCCTAACTTTCTGTCCTAACACATGCTTAGACGATTACGACGGCTGCTCTGAGCACCAAGCAAGGCTCTACACGAACAGGTTTAATAGATGACTCAGGAAATACAACACCATCTGAAAAGTATGTCACACCATCTCTACACCATGTTTCCCCTCTGGAAACGCAGATCAACGCTCTACCCAGTTTGAAAATTGTTACAACACTTTTCTAAAGTATTATGGTAAATCAGAAGGCATAGTAGTTCAGAAATAATAAAACATGGAAATGCTACCATGTAACTAGTGCGGCGCCTGTTAACGATTAGTCTCCGTATGAGGTGCGGTTCTTGAGAGCCACTTCTGTGGTAAGTAGCATAAATGTGTTGCAAAATCCCTTCCTGTGGTTTCTGTATGTTTGTCTAAAGTGCTGAGTAGACCATACTGTACTACACAGACTACAAAAGGGAAGGCCATTCCTCCAACAGAACATAAACATACACAAATACGATTTTGCTGATGTGAAATAAAGATGATTAGCTGAGAACACTTAAATTCTCAAGTAAAGGTAAATTGGCGGAGGCAGTAAATGAAAAACTTGTCATCCAGTTGCATAAGAGAGACAAAGCTGATAGGCCCGACGATTTTTGATGAGGTTCAGTGTGTTCGCTTGTAGTGACAGTCTACTGGCTGACAAGAACCCATTTGATGAATAGCAACGGGAAGCTTTTTGCCGCAGACATGGATTAGACAGTCTACGGTTTAAACAATGTAGATTTTACGAAAGGAGTGTACCGTCTAATGAGAAACCACCACTAAGTGACACCGTAAACCCAACCAGCAAAGGCGGGAGAGGACCTATTTAACCAGAAATATCAGTTGTTAATTGGTCATCCAAAGTGAAAGTGAAATCAAATAGACTGCCCATATGAGGCATTTCGCAGGTAGCCAGCCAGATCAAAACAGCAAGTCTGTCATACACGGTATCCAAAATCTGCTAGCCCGTACCATCATGGCGCAAAATGGTGGCTATTTGCACAGGTGTGGCTGAAAGAAGTCTTATCAACTAGCATATGTACTTCCCTTCGTCCAATACATCTATTCACAATCAGTAGACTACAATTTATGGTAGTAAAATTCAAGTGCATGGATACTCTGAAAGCACAGTACATAGTCAAAGATAGAATGAGCAGCATGTGATTCTGCGAAAGTAAACTAAGAGCATTACAACAAACCTCATTCTGAGCGCTTACAGAGCAACCTTAAGCCAGTCCTGAAGACAGACGAACACCCTGGTTGTGGCGGGAACGCCCAACCTACAAAAGATTCCCAAAGAGAATACCACACCAGCCATGATGACTTAACAGAACATCTTGGCAGTGAGAAAATCCACTAAATGCCTTTATGGAACTATCAACCGTTTGGAAGATGGAGTGCTGACATTTGCATGAAGTACGACATATGCTAACGCAAGTTCTTATACCCACAACTCCTATAGTATTTATTCTATGCAGACCAAAAACAAATCAAAACACCACAATCATCATCTAAAATAGGAAAAATATTTTGGGATGAAAATGACAGTGCAATGTTGAATGCTTAACTAGATAATGATCAAGCATGAATAAACGTAACACGGAGGCGTGCCAAATGGTGAGGATGCTTGACCACAAGCCTTCATCTAAACGAGCCGACTTCAACAGAAAAGGTCAGTATACAATGGTAAGTGATGAACGGTGTGGGCTAGTAATTTCGGGGCATTATTTGCCTCTGCAGTGGCGTCAGGAGCAAGATGGCCGAACTCTGTACTCAAATCATGCACCACCATTTATTATTCTGACGGATACATGGTTGTCACCCAGACTACAAATCTCCAACAGGCGGAGTGAAGTCCAAGCTACAGACGATCCAAGCAAGTTTTATGATCTCGACAGTGAGATTTGGTAAAGAGGATGCCAACGAGATACGTACATCTCAGCGATGCCCACTGTAGTCTGACATTTCTACTTTTTAAATGTCTGAGCATATTTGTGGTGAAGTCGACAAGCAGTATGCTGAGAGTTCCACTAAGTTTGTTGTTTGAACAATCATTAGTCAGATGTCAGTCACTCAGAGATTAATATATATTATACTATTGTTCCCTTGGTTTCCGAGTGAAATATGAGGCCCCAACGTCACATCACCACTTCGTCTCATCTTCTGTGGTCCTCTTTGCTGGCCGTACGATTACCCATAGTCCCTAATCTCCACCTCGCACTATCTCCATCTCAGCCTAGGACCCACACCAAACTCATCTTTTCCGATTTGGGTCCCACTCAAGCGATGGTCTGGCGCAATATCACTCGGCTGCCTTCCCAGTGGTTTCCAAACCACCTCTATTTTCTTCGGCATATTTCTTGAACGATAGGTTGATAGATGGTTTGTTCCCAAAGTTTCTTACAGCTAATCACTTCTGGTCATTTGATCTTCAATATGGAGCGAAGGCAGCTGCCAACCAAAGTCTGTAAAGGCGCTGTGGTGGTAGGTAATTCCCCAGAATTATTGGCCACAGCATTCGCTGAACATTGGCCGTTGACTCTCACTATTAAAGTCAAACTGTTTAGCTGAAGGCTTCAGATCAAGCATCCACGCCATTTGTTACGCCGTCGTGTCACGTTCGTGCACGACCCCTAGCTAGTTAAACAATCATCTCGCATTCCGATTTGGTCCCAAAACATAACTCGTAATTTGGAAGGTCGATTCTGGTGTTTTGTTTTCCCTTTGGTCTAAGCAGAACGAATACTACAGAGGTTGTGGGTGTTAGATCTTGCGTTAGTATACTTCGTACTATCATTGAACGTCAATACCTTTAGCCCCTAAAGCCAGTTGGGAAAGCCTCGCAAGACGCGCATCTCAAGTACCTTATTTATACAGAAGTGACTGAGTTAACATTACTGTTGAAAATCAAAAATGTCTTCTTTATTCCAAATGCAGACTTCCAAACTGATTTCAGAGTGACGAAAGTTTGTCTTGCACTTCCGACTGTGGTTTCAACATCCCATCCATGCTGTCGCCAGTGGTTCAGACGAATTTATTCTGTTGGTAGTGATTAGTTGCTGTTTATCGCATCAGCAGTTCTACTTCTGCTGCTACTACTACTACAGTTCATTCACTGCTGCAGGGAGACCTGACCTGCGCTACGAAGTATTAATAAATGTTGGGCATTATTCATCCAAACACCATTGGAAACATAGTTCGCATGCTTTTTATACGGAACTGAATGGCGTCATGATCGTTCAGAAATGACAACAACCAAGTGGCAAAGAGTCATAAGATTTATACAAGCTTTTGCAAAAGATCATTGCTATTAGAGGCTCGCCGAAAATATATTGACTTTTGGGTGACGCGGCTTCTTTGACCCATGCGGTACGCCTAGAAAATTACTTTCCTACACAGCTCAAGTCCGGTTTGTTAGTCATCATATGGTGTCCAAACGCTTGTAAATTAAGTCTCTCGTGGAATGCACACCCAGTCTCTGTATCACTTAGTCATCTTATTCGAAGAAACTAAGCCGAAATTATCGAAAACTATTTCTTATCGATGTAGGTGATCTTGTGTGTTTTAGAATATTTATTCAGCTCCGTCTTTGCCGTACCCGTTTATCATACGAAAGCCTCTTAAAAAAACTAGACACTCCAACTCAAGCACTTCAGATACCCTCGGTAGCAGACAATTTAATAACATTATCGTTGAAACATACATGATGAGTAGGTAGTTTTCTGTATAATATCACTTTGGTTTTAGATAATCCAGAACCGTGGAATACTGAGAAAGACAGTGAGATAAATTTCTTTTCTGGCAATCCCACTGTTGAAACTACTGAGGGTATCATTCACATATATAAGAACCAGTACGTTCACGCACTATCTATTCATTTAAGCGTTTATTAGGAGAGAAGTTCCTCGATGTGCTGCTATCGTCACAAGTACAATGTTGTGTTTCTTCTCAGTACCATCTCATATAACAGTAAAAGACCTGTTGGTTTTCATTTCACCTATGCGGTACGTTTATGCGTTTTATTATCAAGTATTTCAGTAATGTGATAGAAGAGCTGAAAATAGTAAAAGACTGTACACCGAACCGGTATATGGCACTTCTCAAGTTTCGTACACCTGTACGTACTTGCTATTCCCACTTTACTTTTATAGGAAGATACTGATCATTTTTATGATGCTTATAATGGCATTTGCTACAATACTTTGGAGTCAGAAGTGTGTCAGCTAATGTATGTCTCACACGTGGAGATCACGCATCCTTCTACAGTACGAACACGTTAATAAGAACTTGTTCACAAATTTTTTTTCAGGGTGTTGCATTTCCTACCAAAGATCTAAGAGAATTACCTTCTTGCCCAGTTTGCTTAGAACGTCTGGTAGGCTTCTTTTTAGGTGTAAATTTTAACTAGTAACCTTTAAAACTACAGGATGAACCTGTGCAAGGTATTCTGACTACAATTCTGTGCAATCATACATTCCATGATGGATGCATTTCACGGGTAGAAGATACAATGTAAGACAAACACAAACTGTCATAATGTATTTTATTAGTTGTCCAGTTTGTCGTTATGTTCAGTCACCTGAAATGCTTGCTGATGGTCAATGTGCAGACTGTGATATCAGGGAAAACTTATGGATTTGTCTTATATGCGGTCATGTTGGTTGTGGACGATATGGTCAAAAACATGCACAATTGCATTTTGAAGAGACAGGGCATACATTTGCTCTAGAGCTTGGTAAAACTTTAGTATGGGATTATGCTGATGATGCTTACGTTCACCGGTTAGCTGTTAATCATGAAGATGGGAAGTTAGTCCAGGTAAGTTGTATACTCAGAATTTTGATATGTGGATATTTCATTTCTCTGAACTATTTTAATCTATAACAATCTTTTCCGGTTTATATCCAATCACTATGTATCTACATTTGCATGAAGTAAATGGTTTTTGTTATTGATGTGTCACCTGATAGACTGTACATTTCCTAATATATACAACTTCCGCAGCAATCACATTCCTATTTTCTCTGAGTAAATGTATATTTCTGAACCCTTTGTCGAAGATTACATGCTTCCTTGTCTTGTTTAAGAAGTAATTAACATTAAAGTTTGAAGATGCTGACGCGCGTGTATTATAACTAAACTATGCACGTCATTTAATGTCAAAATATATTCCAAGGTTTGCTGCAAATTGCATCATCTAATTTAAAAATCACCCAGACCCACAGAAATAGTTTTGGTGAAGTTGTGACTTCTTGATTTCGAAATAATGGATCACGGTCCAGCGTCTTGTGTACCCCAACCGTATAATCTACATCTTCCTACCGGCAGTCAGACTCCATGGATCGATGCCATATTTTGATCTGACTATTCCCAATTGTTTTTCAACTTAATCCTATGTCAAATAACATTGATCTACCTGGAAGATGGTGGTTCGGCATGCGTAACACATGCCCTAGCCATCTCAGTCGATGTAGCTTCACAATATGAACAATTGACTTGTCCCGCTTGCTTAAAAGTATCCCTAACCTTTATATTACTCAACATAATGTACCGCTTAACACAAGAGATGAAAATTAAACGTCTGTATTCAAAGGCAGCCAATCTCTTCAAGTCTACCACTTTCAAAGGCCACATCTTTTCTCACTAGTCTTTACTACTATATACCTTACACATAAAATAGTAAGCAGTGGTTTTAACGAATTTTCTTTTAACATTTATGTTTATAAATACTACAAGCATGTTGTATAGCTCATATTGTGAATTAGTTTTTTTTAACGCCTAAATGTGTATTCCATTTCAGCTTGGACCAAGTAGTGAAACTGGTAGTAAAAAATTAGACATGCTTAGCATGGAATTTAGTGCTATTCTAACAAGTCAATTAGAATCACAACGCGCCTATTTTGAAGCACAATTAGACTTGATTACAACTCAGTCAAATGAACGTATTGAAGAAGTGGAGGCTAGAGCTGAAAAAGCTTTGTCAACTGCACGTGCAGCTGAAGAGAAGCTATCAGAAGTTATTAAAGAGAATGGTGTATTTAGTCGTAAATTACAACAAGTATGTTAAAAATGTTTTCATGATTGCACCTTTTTCTGTTGCACACTTATAACTTGAGCTGGTAATGTTCTTTATTGCATGCAAAACATTATTAAGTTGCACTTGGTATAGTGAACGTTTTATCCCAATGTTCAGAATAATTATTTAGATTGTCCCATCTAGTGTACTCTCTTGTATCACAAACATCACTATTCAGGAAAATATTTTAAAGCATTAAATTAGTCATAGAAACTTTATTGCTGCCTTTTACGAAATTCCTGTGAGGACTTACTACGCAATATGTATAGATTACTCAATGAATAGTGCTTGGAAAATATGCACCAAGGAATATATTGACGAAGAATCTTGGTGGAAAATGGCTTCGCATCTAGATTCATAGACAAAAAGCTGAAACTAAGAAGGTCGCTCAACAAATTCAGACTGGCTCTAGCAAGATTCTGCTGCTGAATTTGGAGTTTAAAATTGATACGAAGGCAGAAATTTTCTGAAGACAGCTTTCAAGACCTCTTAGTAAAACATACTTCACTGTCAGTCTACGAGTAACATTTTCCTCCTGGGAACTTTACGGCCATCATGTGAAAGACAAGTTGTCGCACTGGACCACAACAGCATGCATATTTCAGTTCACTTGCTCCTGTGGAGTTGATTACGTTGGCCGTCGGTCGGTCGGTTTTCGACATAGAACTTTGCATATATGTGCGGCAGTTCAAGTCACCACACTCCATGTAGCACGCAAAGCAAGAGAAGAAAGTAGAAGAAATGCATAATATAGACAGTAAACAGAGGTGTGAGACAAAGGAATAGTAATAACGGAGAACAAAACAGTTTAATTGGAAATCATAAGTCACAAGGAGTGGATGCATCTGCACCACTGAGAACGATTTTGAGCCATGTCACCAATTGTTTCCAACCATTGATTTTTATCGTCCCGAGGACCCCAACCAGTCAGGAAGTCTACACCTTCCTACGTGGCTTAGACTAACTGACGTGGATTTCATTGACTGGTGCCATGTTTTCGTTTGACTGCCACTAGCTCTTTTCCAGCCTGGCTAACATTTCCCGTCGAGGAAGGCGATGACTAGGGATGCTTAACATATGTCCTAACCATCTCAGTCGAAGTAATTTCACAGTTTCGTCGATTGATTTCCCCGCCTTACCTAGCACTCGACGCCTCACCTCAGTATTGCTCACCTTATTATACCACTTCACGCGGGAGATAGAACGACTCCGTGGATCGAGAGGTTCTATGACAATGTTTGACTATGAAGGGAGTGCCAAGAAAGTACATTGCACTAATCAAGGCACTCTACTCAAACTCACGTAGCTGTGTAAGGGCTTATGGGGAATTGTCATCTGAATTGATAACAACCAGTGGTGTCCGTCAAGGATGTCCACTTTCCCCATATCTGTTTAACTTCATCATATATATTCTAATGGAAGTATCCTTAACTGAAATTAACGACTTAGGAATCGACCTGTTACCAGGGAATAGTCTCGTTGACTTAGAATACGCAGACGACATAGTCCTGTTAGGAGAGGACGCTGACAAAATGCAGAGTCTTCTGAACACCTTGAGCAGCAATCTTCGTATGTTTGGCATGCGATTCGCCCCTGTGAAATGTAAGATGCTGCTACAGGACTGGACTACGTCAACTCCAAGCTTAGTGATAGGGAGTGAAGTGATAGAACATGTTGACCACTTCACCTATTTGGGAGGTTGTATCAGCACCAACGGATTGATTGGTGACGAAATCACAGCACGGATCCAGAAAGCTTGGGCTGCTTTCGCTAACTTACGCCGTCTCTGGCGTAGGCGTGACATCCGGCTGTCAACCAAGGGACGTGTATACTGCTCAGCAGTTCGCTCCGTCCTTCTCTATGGCGGTGAGACGTGGCCATTGAGAGCGGAAGACATGAAGAGATTGTCTGTTTTTGACCACAGATGTTTACGATCTCTTTCTCACGTTAGGTGGTATAATAAGGTAAGTAATGTTGACGTTAGGCGTAGAGTGTTGGGCAAAGAGGGAAAATCACTCGAAGAGGCTATAAAGTTACATAGATTGAGATGGCTAGGCCACGTGCTGCGCATGCCTAACCATCGTCTCCCCCGACGGGCGTTACTAGCTGATATAGGTGCAGGTTGGAAAAGGGTAAGTGGTGGCCAAACAAAAACATGGCATCAATCCATGAAATCCCTGACAGTTAAACTGAGTCAGGTAGGGAGATGCAGACTTCCGGGTTGGGGCCCGCCCTCGGAACTCTAAGAATCAATGGCTGGAGACACTAGGTGACATGGCTCAAAATCGTTGTCAATGGCGCAGATGTATTCAGTCTCTTTAACCTTCATATTCCTTTCTACCATTACTCATTCTGTTTCACTCTTATACTTGTCAAAACTGTATTGATTCTCTTCACTCATTTTCTTGTCCACCTTTGTGTGCTATTTGGAACGTGGCAACTCGAACTGCTGCACTTCGGTGCCAAGTTCTATGTTGAATCCAGACAGACAGAGACAGAGGGAGATAGAACGCAGACACCTATGATCGAAGACAGCTAATCTTTTCATGTCTTCTGCTCTCAATGACCAGGTCTCACAGCTAGCCATAAAGGAAGACGGAGCGGACTGCTGAGCAGTACACACGCCCTTTGGTCGATAGTCGAATATCACGTCTACGCCAGAGACGGCGAAAACTGGCGTATGCGAACCTAGCCCTCTGTATTCGTGCTGAAATTTCGTCTGAGATCAACCCGTTGGGGCTGATGGTACTTCCCAAGTAATTGAAGCGGTCAACGTGTTCTACCACTTCACTTCCTATTTTTAATCTAGGGGTCGGTGAAGTCCAATCCTGCAGCATCATCTTACATTTTACAGGGGCGAATCGCATGCCAAACATACGAAGATTGTTGCTCAAGGTGTTCAGTAGACTCTGCATTTTGTCAGAGTCCTCGCCTAGAAGGACTATATCATCCGCATATTCTAAGTCAACGAGATTATTCCCTGGTAGCAAGTCAATCCCTGAGTCGCTGAAATGTGTTAGGGTTAAGTGCATTAGTACGTCTATGATGAAGTTGAATATGAATGGGGATAATGGGCATCCTTGACGGACGCCACTAGTCGTCACCACTTCAGATGACAACTCGCCATAAGCCCTCACCTGGCTGCATGAGTACGAGTAGAGTGCCTTAATCAGTGCAATGTATTTTCTTGGCATTCCCTTTACAGCCAAGCATCGCCAGAGAACCTCCCGGTCGACAGAATCGAAAGCCGCCTTTAGGTCAAGAAAAATAATGATTGTCGGACGCCGGTAGGAATGCCTATGTTCTAGAATCTGTCGAAGGGTGAAGATATGACCAATACACCCTCTTCCTGGCCTAAAACCTGCCTGGTTTTCTCGTGTTTGTGTCTCCCGAGCACCACTTAGTCTACGCAGTATTATTGAGCCTAGGATTTTAGATACTATATTAGTCAAGCTAATCTCTCTGTGATTATCACAAGAAGACTTGTCTCCCTTCTTGTATATCGGGATGATCAGTGACTTACACCAACCCGATGGGACTTCCTCTGATTCCCAGACGCTGCCTAGAACCTCCGTTAACGCAGACAGTAAACTGTCTCCACCGTACTTAAATACCTCTGGAGTCATTCCATAAGGTCCCGCTGCTTTGCCTTGCTTCAGATTAGTGACAGCCTTAGTAACCTCAGTTAAGGACGGAGGACCTGTGTCTATATCCCATTCAGGGAGGTGCTGGATGTTCGGCAGGTTAAGTGTGGCTGTGGGCCAATTAAACTGCTCCTCATAGTGTTCTTTCCAGCGCTCCAGACGTCTATCCTGGGAGCTAATTATGGTGCCACTTTTCTCAGAGATTGTTTCGCTTATCATTTGCCTTTTACCACCTGTTTCCCTGATAAGCCTGAATAGTTGTCTGGTGTTGCCTATCGCCGATGCTTTTTCCATCTCTTTCGCCTTTGTCAACCACCACTGTTCACGGTCCTTGCGGAGACTTTTCGTAAGTTTCTTTTTGTGCAGCTTTCGCTCCTCATTGAATTCGGAGCTCGCCGGAATAAGTCTTCTAGCATCTATCAGTTCAGATGAGGCAGTCGAAATCCAATGGTTTTTACTCACCTTTGGATTTACCTTTTTCACAGCTGTATCTATGGCTGACTGAATATTCTTCCAGGCTTCTTCAGGGTGAGCGCAGCTGTCGAACTCAGATATGTGTTTAGCTAGTTCTTCCTCAAATAGGGACTTAGTTTCCTGATCGAGCTGGGGACGTGATGGGTTTACCGCAGGCTGTTTCCTACGTCCGTTCAGTCGTAAGCACACACGAGCGCGGACCAGTGCGTGATCGGTATCTACACACGTGTTCCAGAAGGAGCGACAATCTCCTACCCACCCACACCAACGATAGCTTATTGCTATATGGTCTATTTGTGTCCAGCGTTGATTTGATGATGGGGGTCGCCAGGTCAAACAGTGTCTCTCCTTGTGTTTGAAGTTAGTGCTTACAAGAAACAAATGATTATCTGAACAGAACTGTAGGAGCCGGTCACCGTTGTCGGTTCGCTGGCACGGAATTCCGTATGTGCCACCGACATTCTTCTCAGATTGGCACAATTTCCCTACTTGAGCATTAAAGTCACCAGCTAAAACGACTATATCTGAGCGTTTAGCCTTTCGCAGCAAACTAGACAGCTTTTGGTAGAACTCATCCTTCGTTTCATCCGAACTGCAGTCAGTGGGGGCGTAGGCGGAGATTACGAAAAGGCATCGGCGGGTAGTGCAGTCCTTTCTCCTTTTCACTGATCCGTTCAGACGGACAGCACACATTCGGCTATCTACCGGGATCCAGTCAAGTAATGTCTTTTCTGCTCTAGTACTTAAAGCTATCCCAACACCAGCTAATCCTCGTGAGCTAGCCGTCGCATCTCCTGACACCCTCAAGGTGAATTTTGCAGATTCATCCTGTTGGCCAGGTGGGGTTAGGTGAATAACCACACT